GGTTGGAATGAAACCCTCTAAAATAAATTAAACAAAGTAATAAATTATCAATAAAACAATTTGAAACCATAATGATGAAAAATAAAGTCGCAAATTTATATGTGAACCTCTCTAAAAAAAAATTAAATGCAGAATCGCCTCTTTATGCGTTGAATTATACGATTGAAAAATTAAAGTAATGATATTATTATACAATTTACTATCTTCTATAAACCAAGTATTATAATTTTCATAAAACAACTGTTTATATTATTTTTTTGTCCACTTGAGTACTAGTTTAATAAAGTTAAGATGTTAGAGTTTATTTCGCGGAAGCATAAATTTCATATAATTTTTATTTGCCAATGTAACATTACTGTATTTATAAAATAATGACCAAAAAACTATATTTCAAAGTAAGCTATAAAAAAATAAATCATCGACTTTTTCTATTTAATAACTTTAAAAGTTTTATAAAAACAATAAGTTTTGATACTGATGAATAATATACAAAATTTAAATTTGCAATAGGAATAATCAAGTTTTAGCATTTTAAATGAAGTTCTGATGTTGGTGCACAATGAAACATTCACATTGGTCACAAAATAAAAATGTTGAAAACCACAGCGATTCGTTTAGAGTCTGTTGTTTTAACGAATTAAATCGTTTGAATTACTTTATAAATAGGCATGATCCGGCCAAAGTTTGTGGAAATTTTGTCAACAGTTCAAGTTATTGCATTACGCTACAGCGGTGTTTCGGTGGAAAAACAAAAGAATATTAAGTAGTGAGCAATTCACGGGGCATTAAATAAGAAACACCAGTAAAATTGGGAGGAGAATAAAATCTGATAAATTACTGAGTTTATAATACACCCTTATTGTTTTTGTGGTAAGCGCCAAAAAAGTTGTGCATAATATCATTGATGTTAAATACCATTTTAGCCTCGAAGCGACCGCGCTATGCCAATATATGAATCCGCATTATCATATCGGCTTACCAACGTGATTGGTATAAAATTGTCGCATCTTCGGTTTCACCCATAAAATAAAATAATTACACTTTGATCGCGGCATGCACACTACACTATCGTTGATGTTACACACTCAGTGTTATATTTCAATTTAAAAAAATAATAACAAAATGTATATACCATACATTGTATAGCAGTAGTGGTATAATAGAGTAATCGAACGAAATGTAACCGATACCGCACTTTTCAGTAACTCGGTTTTTCGATGATGTCGAATATTTTATCATCACGAGGATACACCGACCGCAGTAAATTATTTTAATTGAATTTCGCATAATTAATGTAAACCCCATATCTATAATGAAGTTTTATATTACATGGAAGCCACTAGGCATAATATCACCATTGAAAATTCGAAAAAGAAACCCTTAACAAGACAGTTCACCACCAGATAAAACAGACATTACCTCATAATTTACCATATCATTCGAAACCTTTGTTAGCTATTCATTGTGAATTAACAATTACAGAACGTTTAATTTTATTAAATTAATATGATAATTTCACGATGGTCTATGTAAACAACTTTTACTACAGTCGAACACAATTGTAGCAAACTCCAGCAAATGTTACTCATTTTAAAATTACTACAGAATGGAAATAAATTGCATTAAAACTGAGTGCTATCGATTCATAATAATACACACTTTATAATTTTCACGAAATGGGATGAAAGTTTTGGAGAACTTTTGTTTGTCGTTAGTATACCGATAATCACATTTGCAGCTGTCATCATTATTTGTTTATTACAATTTGATAAACACCGAAACCGTTCAACCAGTATTTTTATGTTATTAAATTTTTCTAATTTATAATTTATTGCATTGAAAGTAATGTATAGAACGTGACTCTTGTTGAACTCATGTAAAAATATTGTAAACATTACAATAAAAACATAAATTGACAATCATTAAATTTTGATGTTATAGCTGAATGAAACGATTTAAACGATTTCCCAAAAAGGCATAAAGATGCAATTATTTAAAGTGTCAATGTGCGTTGTATAAAGCGGATAACTATTAAAGTAAAAAATAGTGTCATCTTACATTGTTTAAAATAAGAGCTTTTTGAATTTCGTGAATATTGTTGTAATTAAAAAAAAAAAAAGTTCAAAACATTATTAAAGATATATTTTAATAGAAAAGTTGTTATTAAAAAACTTTTTACAATATCTCGATTTAAAATAATTATACATCTCAAAGTTCAAAGCACCGAACAATTTTTGTATCAACATGATTCTATAACAATGCAGTAGCTTATTATTATTATTTTTATATTGAAAGACGTTTTTTCGAAACATTTTAGTGTTACAATGTACCGTTAAAAATTTTATACTTGGTCAAGCATAAAAAGGAAAAATATAGTCATAGAATTCTTTGTCTAATTGAACATCATATTACGCGATAGATAATGTATAGTTAATATAACATTGTTATTTGTATATATAGGAATTCAAAATTAATTATAACAAAATTACTGCAAACGACTAATGATACAAATTTTGATAGAATTAATTGTTCGCTTAATTACTCTAACCTTAATATAAGAACATTAACTCCAATTCAAAGTTTCATATTTATTGATGTCGGAAAGTATTAGTGCACTAATACTAATTGAAATGTGTAAATTGAATCTTATGTGATAATAAACATATTTGACTTGTGAACTATTGGGATTCAATTTTTCATTTTTTTACGACAAATAAGCAATTTTAAATACGTAAGAAATAAAATATAGGAACAAGTCACAGTGTACAAATATTTTTTTTAATATTATTTTGATTACTCAATTATAATTTATGAATTTTATTCTCCTCCATACTATGAAAAAAAAGCATTACAAATATATGTTATCAAGTGCGATATGATTTTATGTATTTTATTTGAATATCATTTATAAATCAAGTGTTCCCATTAATAATTTTAATTAATTACACAGTTCAAAGATCAATATATGAAAATAATTTTCTGTATAGTAATAGTCTTCCAATACTATCGATATGTTAGATGTGTTAAGACAACACAAAATTACAATTTCACAAAACATAAATTTTTAATAAATAAATACGATATCAGTAACCCTAATTGACCTATACAATATAACAAGTTGTAAATGCGTTTTTACTTAATTCTCTTGAGAATAAATAAATCTGTCAAATGCTATTACTGTTATAAATCGGAGAGATTGATGTGAATCATAAAAGTCAAAATTGTTTAATTCTATAAAATATTTAAAATTCATATGTTTTAGATATAAAGTATATTTTTATGACTTTGGAATAAAATATATGTTTTTATTCTTTTGGTATAAAAATTGATGATTCGACTTCGACGTTTTCAATTTAATGAAATGTTTAATATATATTTCTATAAAATCAAATATTATACGTTTTTGTATTAATACTGCAAATTACTAATAAAAAAAAATATATTTTATATATTTTACATAAAATAAGCAGTCTACAACTACTAAGCTAAGCGAATATACCCCACATCCTTCCAATCATAATTTTTAAAAAGTTAACTCCCTCAAAATTTATTTAGGACCGGGGCTTTTTTGCCTTACGGGTGCGCCTGCACATCCATATTTGTGGCACTAATTATAAACCATAACTATTGATTGTTTATTGAATTTTTTAAGATTCAAGATTTTAAATGGTCTTGTTAATTTGTACAGCTTTGTTCATTAATATTCCATTGCGCATTTGGTTATTATAATGTTGTTATTCTAATGATATTATTATTATTGTTGCTATTTATCAAATGTTATTATTACTTTTAATGTCTTCTCGGTATAAAGACTGAATGAGAATCTCATTAAAATTATTATTATGTATTTTTTTAGAGTTTTCAATCCTACCAATGAATGCTTATCTTTAAAATATAAATAAAATATGGTTTTATAACTATAATTTATATTTAATTTATATTTTATGCGTAAGATTTCGTTTGTTCATAAACGATAACTGTAATTTTACTTACAGATTTTCTTTGATTAATTGAAAATCAAATTACGAACGCTTGCGGTTTCTGTAAGTAAACCTTTTATCTTTTATATTTCTGAATAACAAATCATGCCTTAATGATTTACTTTCTCTGTTTTATAATTCTGATCGGATGATTGTCATTATCAGTCTGCCCGGGAGTTTGTCGCATAAATTCGATTTAAACCATCTTCAATTGGTACGATTTACATTTATATTATAAAACTATATTACTTAACTTTACATTGATATCAATTTTCTTACATACTAATGATTAATAGCAATTATAGTAATTATTATATGTATAGAACATATAAGTTTCACTTTAAGTGCTAACCAAGTTTAAACGAAGAGAGCGTTGCAAGTTTTTGATGAACAATACAATTATTAGTGGTTGCTTTAGTATTGTCATACACTTTTATCTCTTTGCTTATTACTATTAATTAGTGTAACTATTCAGTAAAACTGTAATTTCATAAATGGCTCGTATACGCTTAAATGTCATGATCTTCAATTTATAGCATAAGCTACCATCAACTATTAAAAAAAAAAAAACAAAAGTTTTAATGTTAGGGGTAAAACATTTCTCCAAAATCTTGTTTACTTTAGAAGTATAGATAGTTGAACTTAATTAAAAACATTAGAAGAATAAATCAACTCTTAAAAATATTAATATTTTATGTATAATTTTTATGCAATATGTAGTTTGTTAACCGAGCAAATTAATACCTTTTATCTTTAACTAAAAAAAAATACATTGAAATCATATACAAGTTCAGAATTAAAACAATTTTAATTAAGTAGATAAATTTTTACATTCCTTTGTTACCTTCATATCTCAATAGTTTTGCATATACTGAGCTAAACAGATACAATTTTTGAATTTGGGGTACAAATTAAAAGTTATGTGGTAAAATAATTACGTCCCTTCTAATGTTTTGCTAATCAAATCTGTTAATTAAAAATATTTATTAAGTAATTTAATGATTCATACTTGTGTTACAGGGTTAATACTGGCTGCGGGGTTGTTTGTCTTTGCGTCCGTTTTGAGTGACAGCTTTTCTTCTGTATACTTATCGTCAAGGGATGATGTAGATTTCTCGGGACAGGTGTCTACAAATCCTGATTACGATTATCGTTACGGTTGGTCCTTCATTGCTTGTAGTTTGGCATTTTTGGCATCAGAGGCGTCAGCAGTGTTTACCATTATCGCATACTTTAGACGCTTAGAAGAGCGGATGCACTACACTGCGGTTGACAGGAAACCACCGCAATCGCCAACGCTGTCTGTGACTGGTGGTACGGCGGCAACCGGAGACGAATGTTCGCTCCATTCTCCCGACCATATGGATCAGGAATCCCTAGATTCGGGACTTCTTAATTCCGAACGACCGACTGCTGCATCAACAACTACATCTGCCGTCGTTGACGATTCGCTGTCGGGCGATCTCAATGGCAATACGCCACCCGACATATGTCCGCCTAAAATCGGCGATGACTTAACCAATAGTCAAGCCGGTGTGGCCGTTGTTAAACAATCGACGTCGTATTGCAGTGCTACGCTGAACCCTAAACATTACAAGCACATGGCTGTTATCAGTAGTGGTAACGGTTACGAGGTGGACACGACAAAACCGTGTACTTGTTCGTCAATGCCGGTGACGGGTTCAACTAAACGATACGCAACCATAGCTGCCGGTGTGACGAGACACAACGGTGGTAAACAATATACGGCTGCAACTTCAATGACGACAGCCAAGCGAAAGGGGGGCGCCACCGGACTGACGTCCATTAAGGAATCACCGATGGACGATTACTATCATCACCATAACCAGCAGCAACATCACTCTAAAAATCACCAAACTCTAAGTCGTAAACCCGAGCCTCCCAGCAGGAGACTAAAGGCGGCAGTCGGGAGTTATTGCATACCTCAGACTCCTATTGCTGCTCTAGAAGCCTTAGACTGCCCTCCCATAGCGGACTCTAGACTGGTAACGCCCAGTTTGGTATGACGTAAATGTTGCGTCGTCTTAGGCCAAGACGAACACGCTGTATGACGACGCATATTCCTAAGAGTTACATTTCTCGAATTAATAATCGAAAAAACTGTACCAATTAAACTGATCATTTTGGTTGTAAAACTCATGTTTTTAAAATTGCTAACAAATATGAATCGGTGCGTAAATCTTTTGTACAATTAAAAAATGTCAACTTTTTACTTAAATTTTATCATATTTATTAATCAGTTGATTCAATAATATATTTTTTTAAAGCGTACTCGATATCATTAATAATATAAAGTGATATAAAAAAAATGGTGGTTATTGTTAATATGCAGATTACTAAGGTAAATTGTCTATAATTTTTTTATTTTTGAAATCTGTATTATGTACATATATAATATCGTGTTACTTATCATAATAAATTGTTTGTGTAGCTCTTAAGTTGGTATAAAAAATTGAAGAAAGTTGTGATGTGGGACAATTAGGTTATAAGCTGTCAATCATTATAATGGCGTTGTAAACGTTTAGCTTATACCATCATGACGATATGCTTATAAAAGAAAATCACGTCTTGAATACTAAACGTTTATGCAACATAATAAACGGGAATGATTTTTAAAAAATGGATATGCGACATTGAAATGTAATATCTATACTTATTATTACATCTTAAGAAAGAATGTATCAAAGTATATTTTCTACCATTTAATTAATGAACGAATATTACTTGTTGTATAATCGATTATTTTTCATCACGAAAAAAGCGATTTATGTCTACGCATTATTGACAAACAATGTTCTGTAAAAAAAATATGTATACCTATTATTTAAAAATATTTTTTTTAAATGTTTGTTTTGGAAAAATATTTTGTGATAAAAATAAAATTTCATTTTTTTGTAGTTGATTACAGTTATTTTTGTTTGACCTTCTCTAAAAATCCAGAATTAGTACCTGTATATCAGATATATGGATTTAAAAAATCTCATCATAATATAATGTATATTCTAGAAACAATATTATTATTGTTCAATTCAACTATTCTTCCAATATAGTATATATTAATTATCCGTAAAGTGAAAGTACACATGCTATGATTTTAATATATTGAAATCATTTTGAATTGAACTCAAAGGAATGCTTTATGGCCTATTTTTTTCTATCACTTTTTTTTAATTGACGTTTAAATTAATCAGGTTAAGAGTCGAATTTTAATATTGAGGAGATTAAAGCCCTGATTCAACCCGCCTGAAGACTTGTAATTCATTTTTTTTTAAAGAATTCTTATAGAATAAAAATGAGACGTTAAAGAGTTTGATTTATAGTATGAATGTGCATTCAAATTCAATGCTGTCGAAAACAGATTAAAATTCATGAATTTGATGTCGCTGTGGTTGTATCTATGAATATAAAACAATAAATGTATACATACTGGGTTATGAAATTTAAATATTTATATCACTAATTGGAAGTAAAGCAATTAGCAACGTGTAATAATTAGTGGTTCTGTTAGTAAAATAATCATTTTATAACAAAGTTAATCATGGCGCTCGTTTTCTATTTTAATGATCACCAAAACTATATGGTATTTATAATATAATTATTCTTTGTGGGTAAAATGGTATAAATTGTGGATTAAAATAGGTAACAGTGGTTATTTTAAATGTTATCTTTATTTCCGCTTTTTAAACCTCAGAAGTGCTTACTTTATTTACTAGGTACCTAACTATTTAAATACTGAATATTAACATCGGTACTTAAAACAGGCAATAATAAAGTTCATTTATTTATTACTACATATTAAATTTACTCTATATTTTCTAGAACCTGGATTATAAGTAATCAAGTTAACTCTTAAGTAAGCATTTATGAACTAATTCAGCGAAGGTACAAAGAGAAATGATGATTGAGGTTATACAACTACAACATACTTGCCAAAAATGTTTTCGCCAAAAACTATTTACCAAGTTATTCCATCAAGATACCTTGGCTCATAACAATTTAACCTTTTGCTTAATGCCAAGTAGAGATTTAGTGTACACGCAGAGAAAACATTTTCTAAATAAAATTATTAATGATTTTATTAATAACCTGAAAAACGCAAATTTCAAATTTAATTATAACTAAACATTAATAATTAGACAGTTTATGAATAAATAATAATTAATTATGATAGTTATCATTGATATCTACGAAGGGAAGAAGTTGGATATTCGTTTCAACTGATTAAAACCTTGTTTAAAAATGCAGTATTTTTTAAATATTTTTTTTGTATACGTAAGATGTCTCTTTCTAACCATTCCAGTACTTAGATTTTTTAATGAATATTAAAAGTACACCTAGTGTCGTACTATNCGGACTGCACACATAAACACTTTTGCAATTCACGGCCAATGTGCCATAATAAGATATCCCTATCGACAGTTGACCTTTTACCATCATCGCGATCACTACTTTTGTCTGATAATTAACTTAACTTTTCTATCACGTATATAGTGTGTGTGTGTCGCCGTCAGGTCCTGTTGGATTATATCATCTCTAGGTGTCCAGCAGGTTGTATTATCTATTTAATATTTTAATCACTTAATAAATATTCATTTATATTGTTGTTAACCAAAAGTGTTATATATATATATATTGTAGTGGGACCCTTGGTAGTTCCTCTAAGGGAATATAAATTAAATAGGAAACTTCAGTACCTAAGGTAGATATGGCCTAGCCAGCTATCCCCCGTTGGTCCCTTAGAATACTGTCGACGGGCATTTAGGCTCAATCCCTAAATAGCGACGTAACACTATTTATCATTGGCACCCTATTTAATATATTTTCAAACAAGCTACATATTATGCAAAAAAAAAAATGTACTCATGTTTTTTTGACGTCCCTAGGACACTTGCTCTAGTTGCTCTTTCCGTCCTTAACACGGCCCTAAGCACACCGAAAGAAAAATCTTTGTCTTTTATATTTTATTAAAATTTCACGTGCAATAATATTAAAAAAAAAATTATAGCAGTTTTTAAATACAAAAATTTTTTAAAAATGCCATCTTTAAAGTATTGTAATTTTGACCTATTCGTCTACATTTTTAAAAGTATATTAAATTTGAGATATTTTTACGTTATAATCATTAATATCGGTCTAGTGAAAACTGAGAATTTTCACAGACATAAAAAACGCACATCATGATAAAATTAATACCTTCTCAGCTTTGCTTCGAAACTAAAAAAATGTTTATCATAATTGGAGTTTTATTAAAAAGAGATATTTAACAAAAAATACCAAAAATATACATTAATTAGACGTTTAATAAACAAAAAAGAAATTAAGTTAAAATTGAATTAATGAAAAATATTTTAGCTAAAAAGTTTTAATTAACTGAACTAACTTATTAAATCTTTATGTCCAGCCTCTCATATTACTGAGATTATTGGATTTTTAATTATTTTTATTTAATAAATAAAGTGTGCATGCAGCGCGGCTATAATTTATAAATACATAATACATATACTAGAACGGGTTGTATCTACCTTGTTATTGACCCATCATCATATTTTATAAGAAAAGTGTTAAAAAATAGTATATTACTATTTTATAGTTATTTGAATTTGTAAAGTCACATATAGGGTAACCCAGATAAAGCGGATAGGTAAATTCAGAAGGAAAAATAAGCACAAAGTATTTTTGATACATTTTTTTTATGTACGTTATATGCATGGTGCTCAGTATTCATACCAAATTTTGATACTGTAAAATTAAAATAAAATTTATTTAATTATTATAATTAAATTTATATAAGTTTTAATTGTTTTATATGTGCCTCATAACAAAATTCAGAAAAAAGTAAATAACAACCACGTTACTTAGTTTTCAAAATTATTAGGAAGAAAGAAAAAACCATTTTTGTATAGTTAACAATATAATTAGGTTTTTTGTTATCCATTTATCTCAATTATTTGACACAATTATCTCAAAAATAATAGATATATTTTATTTAAAAAATGCGTTAATGTTATAAATATATATTTCTCTAAAAAAATTGTCAAATCCCGAGGTATTATTATAGAAATAATGAAAGCAAAGCTTAAAATTTAAATTTATCACTTTATGTTTCTGTTAAGTCTATAATTATACAATTATATAAAATATATTTATTTTGAATCAATATGAAATAGTTATGATGTTACAAGATTTTTTTGACCGTCATGAATAACATTCATATCTTTTATATGATATTAGATAAAAGTATAACACTACATTTTCAAATATATTAAATTACTTATACATCCTAACATATAAGTTCAAGAAAATAAAATTATATTTTTACACGTATCAATATTTTCCATGGCCATATATAAATTTTGATAAAAATACTCAGTTTAGAGGTCAATTAAAAGATATGTATACTTCAGAAAAGCAGAAATTATTTCAATTAAAAAATATATTTTTTCAAAAAATTAACTATACAATTATAGTTTATTAATAAAAATTCACAATTTCATTGGTGCGAAAAAATTAAAAGTTTTTTGAAAAAAAAAAAAATTAATTTCCTTGTAAAAAAAAGTAAGTTTTATAAAATCACATTTAGAATTATTTTCTGGGTTAGAAAAATATCAAACATTTTAGAGTAGCTTAAACACTATAATATTAGTTCAATTAATTTCCACCAATAATATATTGTTTAGTGTATCATATATGTGAACTGTTTTCAATTAATATATTAAAATTAAAATTAAATATATTTTAATGAATCAAACATAATAATATATTTTTAACGGAAATACATCGTTATAAAAAGTACAAAGCATAAGTATACAATCAATAGTAAAAATGAAAATTATAAAACATTGTAAATTCAATAAGAAAATATATTAACTCAATATAAAAACTGAACAATGATATTCTGAAACAAAATTTTAACACAAACATAAACTTAAAGACTGCGAGAGACACCAAAATTGGCACAGATAACTTTTTACGTTCAAGTCGCTTGCAACAACAAATAGTTCGTCGTTCAGGCCGTATTTATATAATGCCACGTTCCATCATTCTTTTCAACAGTGATCTTCTATTAAAATTAGCATAATATAATATTTCAGCTACAATTTTTTCAACCTAGTGTGTACACGAGGAACAAACGTATCAATTTGGTATTCTTCTGAACTTACAGCAGCTTGGACGTTTTTCAAAGTACAGTGATGACGTGGGTGTCCAGTCCAATACATCAAACGCTCGCAAATATTTTTTATGTGATCTGCACCTGTAGAGATGGCGTTGGAGGTTTTGTAGAACACATTTGCCAATCATGATTGACTAACAGAGTGTTAAATCGTTCACCAAAAAACAAATATAATTGTAAAAAATCCCAAAAAATGTTTAGGAGCTGCTAAGAGCTGACGGTGTTGAAACAAGTAGCGAAGAGTGTATGTTCTCTGTCAGAATAAGTTAATAGTAGTTTCATAGAAACAGTTTTCACAATTCAACAAAGAAATAAAAACGTTTTTTTTAATAGCCAAATAATTAAAACCTTTTAATTTTATATATAATTATTAATCTTTAAAATTAATAAATAATGTTTCAATATCTTTGAATTATATACAATGTATATCTTATTATATAATAGAACATAATGAAATTAATATACCTATTATGATAAAAGTAGATTATTTTCTGATATTTTAATTATCTATTAGTTCTACTTTTTTAAATAAAATATATAATGTCAAAATATTATTTGATATCTATAATATATTTATAATATATTTGATTAAAAACTCAAGATTATTCGATTATAACGACAATCATGTAAAAATTAAATTAACATAAGCTAAGTCATACTAGTGCAAACTCATATAAAAACACAACAAATGATTTAACATGTTATGTGTGATAATATAACACAAGTATGAAAATGCATGTACGAACTCATACTGTTGAAAAATTATATCAATGTAAAGTATGTAACGATTTTTTTGAGCAATTGTCTCATTCAGTATATTTTATCATGTTTGGCTCCCCAAAATTGATAAGCCAGTTTACCGGCATCTATACACCATCCCACCCACACTGTAATGATCTCTTTGATGTGTATACTTACCGAAAAATTGTCAATTATACCATAATGTACCATTATACCATTATTTGTTCGATTAAAAGATAAAAATTGTATCAACTTAGCAATAAGTTTTCTAATCATTGCTATATGTTGTTAAAATTCCATTCTTAAGACATCTTTAAAAAGTAATTTTATTATTCTATTATAATTAGTAGTTTATTTTTGAAGTGCCATCGATTCTTATCATTCAACAAAATACATCTATTAAAATGAATAAAATAAATAAAAATCGCTTTTTATTTCCGTATAAATAAATAATTGTATATAAAAAAAAAGTAACAGCTCAATCGTTTTATATAAAATGTTGTTTTTTTTATTTAAATATTTACAATCTATACAACAATTGGTACAATAAGTAAATTTGATGTTTAAAAATTGATATTAAAAATGACATGAATTATAAATGATAAGGAGATGACTCATAAGTCACGCCTCTAGCGTGTTCTTTATTTATTATATTAAATTTAGCCACAAACTTTTAATTGATTTTAAAAGAATAAAACTAGTGAGTGTTGCGATAAATTGCCAACTTACATTTCTTCAAATAGTGTTTGTCCGATCCCGGATTAGTTGTGTACAATACTCAATAAGTTATTTCAGTCATAAATGCTGAAAATAAAAGCTCCATATTTGCCAGCAATAAAAGTAATGAAATTCCTACTACTACTTATTATCTTTGTTTTAACTTTAACGTAGTGTGTAGGGTGTCCTGAACGGTTTACTAGAACGTATGCCAGAAAAAAGTCATATGGTGTACAAGTGTGTTTTATAACAATGTAAAAATACGATCTTAACTTATAATATGAATGCGAACCTGTTGAGTACATTAAAAAAAAACTTTTATAGAGTTTATTTCGTATAATAAATATTTAACAAATAATGTCATACAACCAAAAAGCTAGTAAAAAAATATATAATAGAATACCGTTTTGATTAAAAATATTATGGTAAAAGTTTTAATAAAATAAAAAGTTGTGTATTCTTCCGAAGAATTCTAGTAAAATTTATTACAAAATGTAATGCAACACAATTAGAATATAACTTGTCAAGTCATAAGATTTATTATATATAACAAATTGTACGAGAGAAATATTTTTAAGTAAAATATTCCTTTCTCCTTGTTATTATTTAAAGAAATTATGTTTGTTTTAAAATTGTCTACAAATTATATATTAAAAACTATATTTTTTTCAATGACGATGTTTGCATTTTTATTATACAGAGTGTTCAGTAAATAAGGAAACGAATTTCTATTGTACTCATTGTTTGTAACAATTTAACTGTTTCCTAACTTACTGAACACTCTGTAGATATGCTTTTTATTTTTATAGACAATGAGATTAAAACTCAGTAAACAAAATGATTATTGTATTGGATCCGAACTGTAAATTCAAAGTCGAAAGAGGTCGTCAATATACAATGTCTATTAATAAACGATTATATTATTATATGTATATACACGTATATTCTTAATTTTTATACTATATATTAGTGTTAGAACGTGTTCAGTCAATTGATAATAAATATCAATTGACTAGACACTTAACCAATTGTCGTTGGAATTAATCACATATGGTGTGATGGACATAGTCTACAGTACATAACGGTAAATTTTTATTTATCACACCTATCCTTCTACGACCAGCTTTGATTTACAATATGCCTTTCAATTCGATAACAGAAATTGTGATTTTCCACATTAAAAAAAGGTGCTCATTTATAGAAATCATTCGGCTCATTGGCGATTGAACTGCCATTCAAGTGAACGTTTATTGATACTACGGACAGGGGTTAAGACCAAAGCGCTGCTTACTTAAAACTGAATTTTTTTTCGGTAAGTTTTTCAAATAAAATTTTATAATATCATTTTACTTTACTTAAACGTTAGCTAGTTTTGGTAAATTTCAATGGAGTCGAATCATTATATTATTTTAGATGAGCTTAAGTATTAAATAGCATTTTCATTACTTAATTATGTCAGAGAATTGCTAAAAATTACCAAAATAAAATTCGTTATATCAAATGTCGATTTTTCAATTGAAAATTCAAAAAAATATTCAACATATCCTTAATTTTGTTGTATTTTTATTCATATTAAGATTCAAAGACTAAAAGTTCAAAAAAAATCTCACAATATTTATTTCCGAATCTTTTTTTTTTTATAAAATTCAAACAAATCATTTATATTTTGTATTATTTTTCTAGTGTTAAACACTTAAGAAGTAAAAATATACACTTGAATAGAATAAAAATAATTTTACAAGCGTGTTGTTGTCTCCAAAACATTTTTGTTTTAAGGTGATATTATTTTCAATGAAATTTAAAAATAAGTTATAATTACTAATAATACAAAAAACTAATTATTAAGTCAAATTGTATTTAAAAGTCTTTTAGAACTATCAATACACTTTTACAAATTTCTATGACGATCTCTAGTTTACATTTACTAACTCAATGAACACTACTAGATTTTTATAAAAATATACAGAATGTTCAGTAAGCAAGAAAACATGTCAATTATTACAAACAATGTAATCAATAGAAACCCGTTTCTTTACTTACTGAACACTAGATAAATATCACATTTTGTTTCATTTTCCTTAGTGATAAGGAACAATTTTAGATTATAACTCTTGGTAAATTCAAAAAACGTTATACTTTTAACTTAAGGATAATATCATGTGGTTTGTATTTTTTTTGAATTACTATTTTATGCTTTGTTAAATATAATCATATTTGATATGTTTATATTATATTTTTACATTATTTTAAACATATTACATAATACAATATAAAATTTAATACGGCATGCTAACGTATGCAGAAATAGTATTTATAAGATAGTCTGTAATGTTGAAACCGAATCTATTCTTACAATTAAAAGTAGATTACTGAAAAATGTATGTACTTTGCTGTTATGGTCACATTTTTTTTTTTTTTACAGTTTTTTCGGACAATATCTGCGCGTGAAATGGGATTTACTTGAAGATTCACCCAAATGTGTCTTTTCACATATTCATCACTAGATATTTCTGCGTAGCTTTTTTGTGAAATGACTCTTTCCATTACCCTCACTTTATAACCATATACCGCGGTCTTTTACGGCATCCAATTGTAACGATATCTCTTTTCATCAGAATACAATGTACTACAATTTTATGTTCAGACGTTAAATGGCATTGACATTTACATTGAAGTGTTCTTTATTTGATAGTCACCTATAACCGCTTTAATATTGTAATCAGCAACGAGTACGTATTGATGATAATAATGATTTACGCGTCTTTTTTAACACGCCTCTATTCACTTAGTTTTCTCAAAAACATCTGATATGAAAAAAACTCATCATATTTCAACTAAAATTATTCTAAAGAATACATATTACATCTTGTACGTTGATTATTTATGTGTCTTTTTACACATATATTTAATTATCATCTGTATAAAATCCATTGAAAACCACAGAAAAATTTGTATTTTACGAGAGTTCTAGAAGTCGTTTTCTATGGTAATTACGAGCTAAATAATGTAAGTCGTTTGCATTTTGATTGATGTTTTCTACTTTATGAATAATTAGTATGGCGCGTTTTAAATGACAATCATTGTAGTGTAATATGTTTTCCGTACTTACACTGAAGATTAAAATTTTCTAATGAGTTATTAGCAAAACAAACTAACCAAATTAATAGTGGCCATTATCATGAGTAAACCGTCTGGGCTTCGTAACCGCAGACAATACATTTTATCTCTGTAGAAAATATTGTTTACTATTAATCTTATCAAGATTTAGTCCTATTGATATTGTAGTAAAATTGAATATAAGAACTTATTTCCATTTAGTGTTTTTATTAATTATAAAATTATTATTATTGTTATAATATTATAAACAATGATTTTATTCTGGTTAGTTTTACTCATTATATTTTGTAAAACGTTAAAATTTAACGTATTAGCACTAACGTTTAATAATAATGCTTGAGTGCATAAGACGATTTAAAAAATAAATGTTCAAATGCTAATTTTACAATAAATATGCTTGTGTAAAATCATTCTATTTCGAAAAGAAAAGAAAAATACAAAATTTGTAAACTTTAAATGAGTATTTTCAAATTCCCATTTTTAAATATACTGCAAGAAAAAATTATAATTTTAAAGTGTCAATTTATTTTAATTTACTATTTTTTTGACTAACTTTTTTAGAATCATTTGAATAAAAATATTTTGGTATTATAACTTATTCTAATTTAAATGTTTGTAGTTACAAAGTTTTTATAGCAAAACACTCATTACTTGGTCTGATTACTTTTTTTTTTAAGACACTTAAGATTTTTTTTCAAATTGATATTAAATATGAAAATCTACGTAAGTGTTTTAAAACTGTTTTAAATCCATACTTTAAGTTTCAAGTTTTATTTTTCTTTTAATGAGCTATTCCTTAATATGATTATTTTGTATAAAAAGAAACAGCTGTTCATTCGTAAGCTTCATGTAGATCTTTTTTGAAATTTATTAAAGGAGTGTTATGAAATATGTTTTAAATTTTACATCTAATTTTATCATAATAAAATTCGAATATAATGTAATATAATATGGGAAAACACCTTTGCCACGAACTGATAATGGTCCGACATTTAACAAAGTAGTCATTGTGACAAACATATGGTACTCCGACCATCTGATACCACAGGTTACCAAAATTACGACGGATTTTACTCCGACATTAAATTTAAAAAATGAGACTGTAAAAACTCCAACATTATCAATAGTTTGATTATGCATCGAAAGTTATATTTTTATTTTTATTGTATTATTAGTAATAGGGCGCATCGATCGTATATGTTGCAACGTCAGGGTCACGTGGCTACAGAAACACTACATTATTAAATTAATTATATTATTATTAATAATATTGTAAAATTAAAATTAAAATGTTCTATTAAATGAGCATTTATTTGCTACTATAATTATTATACAATAATATACATATTGCTTATTATTTTCTGATACAATTTTTCACATTTGACAAATGTTATTAATACTCGAATGATAATAGTGTTTCATTAAGTAGCATAAAGTTAATAGTTTTTAATATAAATGTACATTTTTGAAAAAGTTTTCTCTATTGTTAGAATATATTTTTATCTTTGAGAATTTAAAGAGATCCATTTGAAAACTAATTTTTCTATTAACAAATATGTGCTGTAAAAATTGTAATGTGCAATTTTATTAGTGTTTAATTCATAAGTGTGTATTATTAAAAAATAATGACTAATATAAACATAAAATTGTTAATATTTGTATAATATAAAATTGGGTGTTTTATGTCTAATTTGATAATATGGATAAGTGTCTTCGGGAAGAGTTAAAATAATATCTTATTATTTGTTCGGATGCTGAACCCATAAACTGAGAACTCTTGAGGTCTATCCAATAATTTTGGATGTAGTGCAATAGGACTGGACCTCAAGGTTAAAAAAGAAATTTCTGCCATGTGTGCCTCATCATTCTTAGACATAACTGAATTTTTTCCTGTGCTGCATTATGATATCGAAGTATAAAAAAACATAGTATATCTAACTTCAATGCAGTAATTGTTGAATACACTTATTTTAGTCTTATTACTTTTTGGAAGTTTCTTCCAATAGGTTTGTGTTGACTCAGTGGATTATGATTAATTTTTTTTTCAGCAATTTTAATTGAAAATTAATTACTAAAATAATCTTTAACTTTTATACAAAAAAATGAAAATAATATTAAACTGTGTAAGTTTTGCTACAAGTTCTAATATAAGTTATGCTAAGAATGAGTAAGTTTTGGTTATATATAAGTAGAAATAATTTTTTCTTATTTAAAAATTCTGTGTGTCGTCTAAAAGTAAAAATATATTAACTCAACTTTAAACAATTTTAATTTTGTGACATGAATTTTATAATCAATGTTAAATTATTAGTAAAACCATTATAATCTCCTGTGGTACTCAAAGAAAAGTTAAAAATATTAAGGAGTAAAAAATTATTTATTTAATGTTCTTTTTCTTTAAAATCTAATGTAAATTTATTGAAATCAGTTTGATATTTCCTTGAAAAAAAATCTGAATAGCCTTTCCTTTTTTTAATAATAATTACAATGAAATTGTTATAAAATTAGACTTCACGTATTTTTAACATTGCACTCCATTATTTTTCATAAGTGTTTTTCTTTGATATTTTATTTATCAGTAGTTAAACATTAATAATATTAAATAATTGTTATTCCCCTTTAAAATATGTACTTATCACTTGTAAACTAACATTTAATACATTTTTCTTTGTTATTAATAAAGTAACAAAGATGTCTAGTCCATTTAGTTTATTTTATGTTATAACTTGTGTATCATCACTACTATTAGTAAACATATTTTATTAATTTAATTTAAGATTATATTTAGTCTAGATTTTAATGTGTAAATCTTTATCTCTTCTCAAACGCACAAAATAAATTGTCTTTTATCGTGTACACAGAGTTTTTTCTAATATTTAAAATAGAAATGAAAAATTATTCGCTTAAGTATAGACGAATAATAATAGTGTAGTGTTAATAATAATAATAATAATAGCTAGTTTAATTACGAATCCTATCATCAGTGACACGTACCCCTATATTTTAACTAAACTAATGAATTGTTATAATAATAGGCACTAACAAGGAGAGGCAAAAAAGATTTTACGTCCGAAAATTGGAATCGCTCTTCTTTCCAATCCAAAAAAAATTTAAGGGCTCACACCAGTTATATAACTGGGGTTGTTCTAGTTCAAAACCCTCTTCCTTACCTTTATGTACTTATTTTATCAACAG